TACATGCGTTGCTTTTATTAGTTATTAAAACTGCTTTGGGTCTATAGCAGGGCAGAACAGAACTAGGTGGGGAAAACTAAACTGAATGCTGGGAGAAAGAAGGCAGAGTCAGTGAGATGCCATGTAGCCGTCAGAGAGGAAAGACGCAGGAGGAGCAGATTCTAGTAAGGCAAGATCCCATTCTTTGAAAATACTTTCTGAACAATAGGAAAGAGAGACTCAACTTATTTAGTACCTATATAGCACTTAACCCTGAGCCCAGGAATTATGAATAATTTGAATTTCTCCTTTTATGTTGTATTATTTTCTAAATTATTTTATACTGTACACATATCACTGCTAATTACAAAGTATAAAAAATTATAGTTTGAATACAAAGTATTGCATAGACATTTCTTAGAAGTATCATGAAAGTGTCCACCTACTGCCCACAGATGTGTGCAGGATACCAGTTTATTCTTTCACCATACAGTCCAGTATTTCTGCTCATATTATCTAGTCTCTGTGTTACTAAAATCCTGTAGGAACCCACCGTGCATCCATTACAATAAATTCCAAGTCTTGGAAATCAACACAGGCTAACAAGTGTATAAATTCTTTATAACTTGGATTTTGTCTATGTAATTCCCAGAATCCAAAGAAACTCCAAGAAACTCTTCTTGTTTTTGAAATATGACAAGGTCTAAGTAGTTTAGTGACTATCACTATTACCACTATTACCTTATCTCTTGATCTCTTGACATGTGAGGGAATGAATTGACATACAGGAATTCAGACCTTTTTGGTTTTTTTTTTTCTTTCTTTTTTTTTTTTTTTTTGAGACAGGGTTTTTTTCTGTAGCTTTGGAGCCTGTCCTGGAACTCACCTCTGTAGACCAGGCTGGCCTTGACCTCACAGAGATCCACCTGCCTCTGCCTCCTGAGTGCTGGGATTAAAGTCATGTGCCTAATTCAGACCTCCTTTTGAATGGGACCTGACATTGCACTCCTGTCTACTCTAGTGGAGACCATGATGAATCTGTTAGAGAGAGTGTTGCTCTCACCTGCGTACAGAACCAGGTAAGACAGGATGTGTAGGCACACTTTTTTTTTTTCAATTTATTTATTTGTTGTTCTGTTTTTTTGAAACAAGTTCTCTCAGCATAGCTCTGGCTGTCCTGGAGGTCACTTTTTAGACCAGGGTGGTCTCTAACTCAGAGATCTGCCTACCTCTGCCTTCCCCATGCTGGGATTAAAGACACGCGCCATCATCACCAGGCTGCGTGTGCACACTTTAGGTGTCCGGGTTAGGTAGGAAAGAGACAGTGAAGTATTCAACCAATCATGAACCTGACAATGAAAGCCCTGCAGGTAGACATGAGTGAGAGCCTTGTGGCTCCAGGCACCGGGAAATATCAGAGTCCTCTGCCTCAGCATCCTTTTGGACAGTGAGTTCATGCCTCTGCCACTATAACTGTATGATTTTATGAGAACTGCCCAAACATGAAATCGGTCCTATATCATTTTCCCTCCAGGCATGAAAGCTTTGCTATTACAACCAATGCCACTGGGAACTTGGTCTCACAATCTTATATCTTTGCAAATTAATACCCTGGAAGGATTTTTTTTTTGAAAACATTGATAGGTTAAAAAGCAATCCTTTAGTTTCCCTTTTTAAAAAGTATCTTCTTGTGGTAGTGTGGAGAAGACTTAAACTTTAAAGACAATGTCACTATGTATCAGGGTATTTGAATGTTTATAGAATTAAATGCTTTTCTAAGAAAAACATATTTTACATGACAAAAATAATCTGTAGTCATAGTGTATGTGTAATTAAAAGGGTGTAGCATATATTTTTACCAGATGCTCATAGGGAAGCTTCAGGGGAAATTCAATCATTAAATAAGCATTCACTGAAGTCAAAGAAATTTTAAAAAGAGACTGGGCAGACCACACCGGGAATCAAAGAATCATTTTAGTGTGTCTACACATCCCTTACATGGGCTCACTTATTTCTGCTCTGCCTCCCTGAAATTCTTGCTGGTAAGTTATAAGGTGCTCTCAGGATGGTGCCCATGGAGGCTTGCTATATAATGCTGATTTCTGTTTCTGCTTTTTCTCAGGTGCATGGGACGTACAAGTTTTTTCACCTGTTTTGTGAAGGAAGCAAAACTAATTGAATACTTTTATGTGCTTTAGACGCAGCTGAGCTGCCTGCGTTTTACAGTCAGCATGGTACCACAAGGCCTCTCTCTCTTTTTCTGCTAACTATAAAAGGTCATTGTGTGTATCATAACGACAGGAGACTCCAGAGTTTCAGCTTACAGCTCCAAGACTCAAGTTAAATAGCTTAACCATGCCAGTCATTAGCTACCCTCAGTGTTTGCCTGAGACCAGAGAGCAGTCTGCCAGAACCCAGAGAGTTGCAAAGGCAGGCCTGCTCAATGTGACTTCTGAGCCCAGGAGGCTAGTTTAAAGGAAAATTAGATGTATTCTACAATAAGGAGGGGAAATGTCCTTGACTTTATGCAGCTCCTTTTCCCCTTATATAGTAGAGAACATGTATTCTGAAATCAGTAATTGAGTAAAAACATGAACTTTAACCATAAACAGGCAAATTAGCCTATTTACTCAACATAAATGGGTAACTCCTCTTGTATATAGCGCTTCCAATAGTTCTTAAGAGAGATGAGGAACTCTGATTTTATTAAAATTACAATGACATGCAAAAATTCTACTGAAAAGAAAAAAAGCATCCCTAAAATATTAAAGTTCATGGCTGCAATTTAGGAGTGGAAACTCCTAGCTGCGTGTTAAAAAGGAAATGAAGCTTTTGTACTTGCCTGACAGAAGGGCACCCTGTCTCGAAAAAAACCAAAAAAAAAAAAAATGCGAAGCAAGTTTTTAAGGTCAGTTCATGAACTGATTAATTTTGTAGTTTCTCCTGAAATCACGCTACTGTGTATGTAAACGCTGAATAACTCCCCTGGAGTCAGAGCCAGTGAATGAGCGACTGTTGGAGAACAGTGACGTCATACCTGGAAGCCTGGGCTGGAAGACTCCAACCAACTGTACCAGTTAGGAATGAACTTTGTCACCTGCTTTGATGAAAGAGCTGCAGAACTTACGTCAGCGACAGAAAGCATGGCTTCCACTGGTCCTGACTGGGTCTGCATTTTTAAGATTACTATCTTCTGTTCTATGGTCTTTAAACCATATCGCTTAGGAAATCTGTATTATTTTATTCCGATGCACTTGGGCTAACATTTCTCAATTCATTTTCCTTTCCCCAATAAGAACATCAGGCAAAAGCTTTAGAACTCATCCGAAGAATAATGATAAACTCTGTCATCTGTGGAATGTACTTTAGTCCCAAGAAATCTCTATGACATTAGGGATAGCACACATATCTCAGTGTGCACACACAGACATATGTTATAAGTTTTCATGCATCAAACCTCTCAGGCTTCACAATTTTCATTCTCAAGAATGAAAATTACCCTGAATACCAACATGACATTTTTTGTGAGGATAATGATTTAGGTTTTGAAGTACTAGTTATCTTCACAATTCCAAACGGTCTCTGCACATATAGATATGAACTCCGTACACTTTAGTTTTTAAATAAAGTGCTCTGTAACTTTAGATGCCGTCACAAGCCCAGGAAAAATCAATTGAAGATGTATGTAACAATGCGACAATGTAATGTTACCTTTAATCTAAACTTGCATTTATTCTAATGGCTCAGGGCTACGCAGTTAGCCATCACATTTGATGAGGTTTAGCTTCTTTGGTGGACCACGACCACAGCTGTTCTCAGGCTCTATGGCCGCTACAGCATCAATGCTGGCTGTTCTCAGCAGCTAATAGGGAACGGTTTTTTTTATTTATTTTTATTTTTTGGTTTTTCGAGACAGGGTTTCTCTGTGGCTTTGGAGCCTGTCCTGGAACTAGCTCTTGTAGACCAGGCTGGTCTCGAACTCACATAGATCCGCCCGTCTCTGCCTCCCAAGTGCTGGGATTAAAGGCGTGCGCCACCACCGCCCGGCAGGAAACGGTTTTAATTGCTATTGGAATCACTGTCAGCTGGTTTCACACCAGCTTTGATGACTGTTTATGGAGGTGCAGCGGTCAGTGCAGGATGCTTTTTTTTGAGCACCCATTCCTGGAACCCTTCTGTCTTGCCCAAGGGAAGTTTGGCTGGGTTCACATACCCAGCTGTCTTCTGCATGCAGCTCTGGGAATGCTTACCTCATACCACGCTGCAGGAATGGATGCTGAATCCAGAGCCAACATAGTAAGGTTTTCCTTTGTCATAGACTATTGTGTAGAACCCAAGCTTGATCCCACCATCAGGAAGCATCTCTGAAGACTATGACTGACCAAGAAACAGTTAAAGAGAAGCTTCTCTCTATAGATGAGCCAACAAAGAATATGTCGCCGCAATAATGATGACAGTCCTCATACAACCACAAAACAAACAACAAAACACTCCAAAAGCCACCAGAGTAAGACCAAACAGAAGCCCCAGGAGGGCAGAGCCAAGAGGACTGGAAAGACTTGATCACATCTGATAGAAAGCCCAGTAGCTCTGGACTTGTGTTATAGAACATAGTGTGTTTCTTTATTATTAAGGCAATTTGGTTCAGATTTTATGGAGGCCAGCCAGGGACATATTACTATTGATTTTTTTTTTAACAGCAGAGGGGTTACTCCCAGTAGTGTCTAGAAAATAAATGTAGTACATGATGAGAATCTGCCACGAGTCAATCAGTCAGCATCACCCTGGGGCCATTGCTTCTGAACAGTCCTCCCAGACCTGGATCACTGTAATGAAAATCACGGAACGCTTTTGCTTCTGAGAGGACTGTGCCATATTTTACCCTTCTAACTACCGTTGTATAAAAATATATTTCATCGAAACAATTCCCATAGAACAGCAAAACACACACTCAGACATCGTTATAACATTCCAGAATGAACTTTGAAAACATAAGTTCCCCAGTCTCTTCCCCCTCTTACCTCTCTCGCACTGTGGCCCTGTGAATCCATAAACGCAAGCACAACGGTTCGGGCCAATGCAGCGCCCACCATTCTGGCATCCGTTTTCACAGACAGCTGCACACAAAAGATCAAGAAACAGTTCATTAATTACCACGTCTCCAAGCACAGCAAGATCCTGCAGTGATGCTGCCAAGTAAACATCTTATATCCAATTGTTTCTTGAAAACATGAGTGCACAAATCTGATTGGTCACGAAGTCAGAGATGCTACAACGATTCATAGATCTCATTATTAATCAAGTTTATTGTAAGTCTTTTTTCTTGATCAGATTCATGAGGATAATAGGTCTGATGCTCACAAGAGACAGGCAATCACTATTCAATATTCTATTACCTTTTCTTCAGGGACATAAGAGGCATAACTTATTAACATGCCCTCCAAGCGATGCATGTATCAAAAATAAGAAGCTCAATAATAAGAGGGAAATAGGCTGAAGGTGCAGCCACTTGGCTCTTTCCTCACTGTCACCATCCAGTGATTGCTCCTCTGTTGATCATAGCAAGAGGGGACAAACTTGGAAAGAGAGGATTTTCTCCATCTTAAAGCATCACTGTGTCAATGACCTCAGGGTTACGTATTAGAGTCATGCTTTGATGCTATATGCCATACGACCTCAGGGTTAGCTGCTACAGACTCATTTTGCTCCAAGGCATGATGCTATATGGCTCTGGAGAAGAGTCACTTCTGCTTCGTTACCCATCACACCTTATATTTCCAGGTGGCACTTCTGACATGCCATTGCCTTGAAACATGGGGCAGGCAAAAAAGTTAGAGGAGAAAATACAAAGGACAGAAAAAGGGGAAGGAGGCCATGAGGGCTGCGAGACAGATGGGGGTGGATAGAAATGTCAAAGAGAATGAGAACTTCCCAAAGATCTCTAAGGAGCATGTGAGTCTTAGAATCAGTTGCCAGGATGTGAAGGCTCAATTGTAAACAATTACAAGATGTGGATTTCCCAACTGACCAACACATATTTTTGCAGACGGATAAATCTAATTGAATGTGATTAATGAAAATGTAAGGAATCTTCTTTAAATGTTATCTAGCGGAAGGGCATTGGAATGAAAACCACTTTCCCAGCCACGTCCAGTTACTGTACCAGCCTTTGGAAAAGACACAGACAGGCTGAGGTGATGGGTCAGCCAGGAATGTCCTTGCACGCAAGTACAAGGGCCTGAGTTTGGACTTCAGTATTCATAAGAAAAGTTTGGTTCCCCCCCCCCCCCGGTGATCCTAGCACTGGAAGAGATGGAGACAGGCAGATTCCTGGAGCTTGCTGGCCAGTCAGCCTACCTGAACTGAACGGTAGCTCCAGTGAGACACCCACCTCAAAAGAAAATAAATAAAATGAACTCCTGAGAAAGGCATCCGACCATCTCTGCCCTCCAGATGCACTTATATCTGCAACACTCCCCTGATAGACTACAGACAGAGAGGATCTGCCTGCCCTCGACTGGGATCTATGAGCAGAAGGAGGCTGCCTCTCTGAGGTTTTTCAAACCCAGACAGGTGGACGGTGCCATGAAGGTTCAGCTTCTCCTGCAGATATGGGCCACTTACTATGCAACCCTAACCTAACCTGTCTGTGCTAGGCTAACAAGCCCTTTCTTCTTCACAATATGCTTGACGGTTCAGAAAGTAGAATTATTGTTCATAAACTATTTATGGGAACATATGTCATCGGTGAACACCAATTTCAAAATGAGTTAGCAAACAGTTCTGATATTTCTGATTTCTGATTTCTAACACTGTGAATATTGATATGGATGGATCTGTGAACAGAAAGGTAAGGACAGACCACACTGCCAGTCATTCGCTGCTGTTGCTGTTAGTCACATAAGAGGAACAGTTAGCTGGCTTTCGGATTCTCCCTTCCAAGCCCTGTGGTTACTGAAGCAAGCCTGCCTTATACCAGGCCCTCCCAGCATCTTTTCTACAACTTTGCCAGGCAGATGGGTGTAATGAGCAATGAGTCCTGTCCTCTATCCCAGTGTTCCAACCTCTTTGGTCCTCAGCATCCCTGCTCATAACAGCTGGCGTTTCCCCGCCCAAAGTATTATGTGAACTAACATGCATGAAAAACCAAAGGCTTTTTTATACTGTTAGAGCTTTTTGGAGGGGCGGGGGACTGCTTGTTTGTTTTGAGATAGGGTCTCTCTCTGTATTCCTGGCTAGCCTCCAACTCACAGAGATCTGTCTGCCTCTTCACCCAAGTGTAGGAATGACAAGCATGTGTACTACACACAGCTTCTTTACTCTTTGTTTTTGGTTTTGTGAGAGAAGGTTTATCTGTGTAACTTCCCTGGATGTCCTGGGACTCAATTTTTAGATCACGCTGGCCTTGAACTCACAGAGATCTGCCTACCTCTGCCCGAGTACTGGGACTAAAGGTGTGCGCCACCGCCCGTCTCTTTTTTGTACTCTTAACTGCTGAGCTAAGCCGTCAGAGCAAGCCCGTAAGCATCACTCCTTCACGGTCTCTGTATCAGCTTTTTCCTCCAGGTTCCATCTCTGTTTGAGTTCCTGTCCTGACTTCCTTCAGTCAAATAAATACTTTCCTTCCTAAATTGGTCACGTTGTTTCATCATAGCAGCAGTAACCCTAGCTAAGATACTTAACTACTCAAATGCATTTGTTTCCCAGTATGTTTGGGAGATAGCACAAGTTTCTTCCCTAGGCCTACAGAGCCAAACCTTTCTCTCCAGATCTGTCTGTTTCTTGTCATTGTGCTTCATCTCCACCTTATGCGGGGAATAGAGGTTCTATTTACTGCTTTCACAGTAGATGGGGTCTGTCTTCTGCCACAGCATCTCTGAACTCGCTTTTCCTTGTGTCCAGAACATTTTCCCCCAGGATTCAAAGGACAGACTTCAACTTGTGTGCACATGTGCATTCCCTTACCGTTTTCTTCTCATGCTAGATGTTTCCATGACCTATATCTGCATTAGGTTATATACTACTCCTACCTGGGTAGGAAAATTGGCTTAGAGTTCTTCATCCTTACAATAAGGATGCATAGTTGAAGAATAGTTGGGGCAGAAAGTTAGAGGTAGGGACTGAAACACAGACCATTGAGGGACACTGCTTACTGGCTTGCTCAACTTGCTTCCTTCCTTCCTCTCTTTTTTTTGGTTCTTTGTTTGTTTAGTTTTTTTTTTTTTTTTTTTTTTTTGATACAGGATTTCTCAGTAGCTATGGAGCCAGTCCTGGAACTCACTCTGTAGACCAAGTTGGTCTCAAACTCACAAAGATCTGCCTGCCTCGGCCTCCCAAGTGTTGAAATTAAAGGCGTGCACCACCATCTCCCAGCATTCAGCCTGTTTTTTTATACAACATAGGACCATCTGCCCCAAGGGTGGCACATACCACAGTGAGTTGGACCCTTCGCTATTAACCACCAATCAAAATTGCTCCCACAGACTTGCCGACAGGCCAATCTGATGGAGGCAATTTCCCAGTTGAGGTTCCCTCTTCCCTGATGAGTCCAACTTGGGTGAAGTTGACAAGAAACTAACTGGCCCAGATTGTCAGCTTTCCATTTACCTCCCAGTTCCCTTCCCTACGTCCACAGTGTCACTGCACCATGCAAAGGGAAGGACACACAGTGACATTGCTCCGTACAATGTAGGAATGCTGTATAAGGAAAACTGCCCTTATTTGGGGAGATTCTTTAAGGCAGTTTAAATGTTTTCAACATCTTCACATTACCAAACATCACATTTCAAGGGATTTTTCTGGAATCAAAAATTGATCATCATCATCTTCACTCTCAACAATGTAACACCCTTTCCATGGGACAACTTAGGAGAAAATGTCACCTTAAACTATCCCTGCCATTGCTGTTTCGTAGCCACCACCTTCATCTCCATATTTGATAACTGCTGGGTTTATTAGCAAAGCCTTTGCTTGCACCATATGTTTTATCATCCCTGTGATGAAATAGCGACAGAAAGACTCATTGTATGAGACACTCAGGGAAGAACTATCCACATGTGCCCTGATTAGAACTCAGTGCCTTTCATATTCCTCTGACCAGAGGGCATGGGTTGATAGGGGCTGCAGCTTAAAATGTTATTGATTGTGATAAACAGGTATAACATGGCATTTCTCATCTTGAACATGCTAAGTTACAGTTCAGTGACATTAGTCCATTCACGTTCCAGGGCAGACACCGCATCCTCATCTTCAGGATGTCTGTTTGGGATGTCTGTGCTGTAAGACTGGAGTTCTACACCCTTGTTCAAGGTTGTAGAAGGTCTGGCCAGCTCAGACCAGATGGTGAGTTCACAGACAGCTTGGGTAATTAAGTGAGATCCTGTCTACAGGAAGCTTGCCGATCATGCATGAAGCCTCAGACTCGTGCTCAGTATTGCAAACTAAACTAACCCAACAAATGAATCAGTGTAAGCTCTTAGAAAAGTTGGTAAACATTAGCCAAATATATTCCCCAGGGGTGTGTCACAACACAGGGGCCACACTCTGCACCCCCTTCAAACAGGACTATTTCTTTATCATGTGTGATTCTCTCCAATGAAGACAGCTTTATTTACTGGCGTGAAGGTATACATAGCATGGTACCAACCTGCCTGGCAGATGCACGATCTTGACTGTAATCTCCAGCACTGCAAGTGGGTAAGTTCTTTGCTAAAGCCTCTTTTTTCTTCATACTGATCTAAACTTTTCAAATCATCATACAGTCCTGTATTCTGGTATTCGATACATTGGAACAAGGTAATTTATGAAATTTGCTCTCATGGGTTAATTTTGGCAATTCTTAAAATTTGCATGTATGTGGTGGTGGGGGTGAAGGAAGTGGTTTTCCAGTAAACTTTATAGGAACATACCTATGTTCTGTGGCATAAATACCCATGACAAATGTCAAACTTTATAGCATATAAGTAGTGTTCAACATCAATATTATAAAACACAAAAATGAGCAAGTTAGAAGAATTCCTTCAGGTTAAATTTATGACAATTACTTATGAACTATGGCTTACTATATAAAACTATCTCTTCCAATGACTATCCACGAGCTTTGCAAGAAGCTCTGGATAAGCTCTTACACTCTGACTAAAAGGAAATGGACACCCAGTCACATTGTTTACAACAAAAGCTATTGCTAAGGTTTCTTACGTTGTCCACAGTAAGTCCCGATGTATCCTTTCTGGCACTGGCAGTGGTCCTCAGCACAGGTCCCACCGTTCATGCACCTCACACTACACTGCTGGACTGTGAAGAAGACAAAAAAACACAGACACCCGTCACCAAATTGCATTCATGGGCTTGTCTATAAACTACAGGTCCAACCTGATGGCAAATATATTCCATGTATTCGACTGACACAAATGTTATAATCCAATAAATTTTTATTGCCACTAAGAAGACAAATGCATTGGTGTTCCCAGTTTAAATCTTACTCCTGAATCAGACAGGTTCTCATTACTCTTGTTTAGCAAAAACCTAGGAGGGAACCATTAAAATTCAACAAAGTCATGCTCATTTTAGGGAGATTTAAGCCCTTGTTTGGATATTGAGCAGGCAAATATGCAATATCACTTCTAGCTTACTCTAATGAGATCTCAACCACTTGCACTGGGGGGGGGGTTAATCTTGGTCTTTGGAGTCCTAACATTTTCTAGAGTCATGAAAAGAAAAATACATTCTTAGTCTACTGTTATAGTTACTTTGATGGAATTGTTGGGAATTAATGTGTGTAGGAAAGTGAGTTACTACATCTAAAGTATTTGATCAGTATTTCAGCAGACATCTGCTGCCTTTCTGATCTTCTCTCCCCATAGTTAAGACCCAAATAGAATAGAGGCTGCAGCAGCTGCACAAAAAGACAGCAAATACAGGCTAGTGCTTGGGATGACAGGTTAGGAAGTCTTAGTTGGTAGACTTAGGTCTTTGGGTAGGTAAGCTGGTTAGATTTTTTTTTTTTTACAATTTGACACAAACAAGAGTCATCTGGGAAGAGGAAACCGTAATTGAAGAAATGGCTCTCTTAACTGACCATGATGAAATTCATTAGACATTTTTCTGATGAATATGGAAGGACCCAGACCACTTTGGGCAATACTACCTGGGCAGGTGGTCCTGGATGCTAAGAAGGTAGATGAGAAAGCCAGAAAACAGTGTAAAAAAGTGTAAAAAGCCAAAAAACAGCACTCCATCCTGAACTCTACTTCAGTTCCTGACTCCAGATTCCTGGTTTGAGTCCCTACCCTGACGTCCCATGGTGATGGGATGTGGCCTGGGAGCTGTAAGATGAAACAAACCCTTTCCTCCCCCAAGTTACTTCCGGTCATGTTGCCTATCATAGCGATGACGTCAAAGTAGGACAGTAGGTTAGTTAATATGCATGTGCCTCACTTTCCTCCTCTGCAAAATAGGAGCATGACGATATCAAACAATGTGGATGAGAGGATTGAAAGAACGCAAACACCTCTCCCAGAATGCTATGCGGAGTGAATGCTCAGGAAATTACAGCTATTACAAAGCATTACGTCATGGCATCCTAAACATCGTGCCACCTAGACACATTCTCTGTTGACAATTGCCTACGTGAGGCAACAACTATGGCTCAAGACTGTCTTAGCTCAAAATTTAACACTGGTAAGCCCAATTAGTGAGAACAACCACCCATCCATATCTCCTTCAAGAACGGCACTTGTCGCTGGTTCCCAGGCTTAGGGAAAATGCAGTGGACATAGCCACGGAGAGGGAGAGGCAACATACTTGATTTTGCTCCACAGGTGGGGGATATTTGTCCACTGGAACAAGTACACATGTTGGGACGGGAACAAAATCCATCTCCACAGCTGTTCCTGCAAATCGCTGGAGAGAGCACAGCACAGATGGGAATGAGAGACAGCACCCTCAGTCACGTTCCACAGTGAGAAAACAACATTTTTTAAACCACAGGTCTAGAAAACCAGGGCATGACATTAATGTTGCGAAACATCTGAGTGTTAGTATGATATAAAAATCCCCCACTGGAGATGTGGGACTAAGTCTTACAGTTTCCTTGTGATGTTGGACAAAGAAATGCAGCTCTTTTAAAATTCTGTAATACCAACTGACACCAGTTCTTTAACTTGATTATCAATACAAGTTGCTTTTTCTATTTAAAACCGGAAACTTTTGAGTTCAGGATTCACCAAAGGATCTTGATCCTAGGGAGCTGGCAGTAGTGGGGACACCCAGAGAGACTGAGCATCTCGGAAAATAGATCCCACTGTTTAAGAATGTGAAATTGGTAGAGACAGAGACCTGGGCCCTGACGAGTTGGCCAAACGTCTGGCTCCCTGCACATTCCACCCTAGCTGGCTTCTGCCCTATCCAGTCATCAATCTTTATCCCCCTTCATGACTCCTCTCCTTCCTCCACTCTTGAGTCTGCCACATCATCACTGCAACCTAAGCCACTCCCACTGCTCAAAAGAGCCATTCTGATGGGATGGGGGTGGGGACTGAAGCTCCCTACAGCTGTGACCTCCAGCGAAGCTGAGGGTCATCTAAGCCAAGTTTAGGCTCATTGACACAGGACATACCACAGATACGCAAAACCTTCAGTCAAGTGCCTTGGAATGGGAACTCTCTCCCAAATTTAGTCAGGAGCTGAAAGATTTATCTCCATATCCCTAGTTAAATTCCCTCTTTGAGCATGCAGGCTATGTGCAGATTTGATCTTTCTCCGAATGCAAGAAACAAGGGAAGGGTCTGGAAATGTCCTGAAACCGCACACAAATACTTAGAACACTGTGCATATGAATCTTTTGCTGGGGAAGAGGTCTCAGAGCTTTCAACGAGACCTGGGATCCCCATGATATGAGAAACACACTCTACAGGAGCAAACCAATTTGGTAATTGCTTTCCTTTTCTAAGATCACCTTTGGTATCTATATAATATGGGCAATGTCTCAACTGGTTATCCTGAATGAAAATACTGTAAAAATATTATGGTCTTAAGATTAAAAGAAAAGGCAAGAAAATGGCTTCCACCATAGAATTAATATTTAAAATATATTAGGTTCTGACCAACAGTAATTTTCTATGGCAAATGCTCATGAAATATAATTTTATTTCAAGGGTTCTTCCTTCTTAGCAGGGAGATTAATCTAGGTTTAGATGAAGTGACCCATTTGGTCTCAAACCAAAATTAGGTTTGAGGGGCTGATCCTGGACATCTTCAGGCAGTAAGTTGACTGTCGAGGCTTCGATGTGTCCCCTGCACAGGCCAGTAGGAAGAAGTAAGAGTGATGAACTCCTTCCTCTCTATGCTCATTGCAGTCTGCAGTCTCAGTACAACTCCTCCATTTTAACTGACATTATGAATCCTAGGAGTGTTGGAAGGAGCAGGAGAAAGGGTGCACACACTGGGAGTCTGGTGACATTAGGAGATGCTGCATGGACCAGTACTTAACACGCATGGCACACAAGAGGTATGAAGATGAAGTCTCACTCTGCCAATGACCCACCGTGAGCACAGATAATACCCAAAATGTCACTGGGTTCAGTTTTCTCATTAAAAACATAAATGAAACGGGTCATCCTGGGGGGTTCTGACATATTTTTTCTTTCAGTTCGCAATTGCTGTGATGCTAAGCCAATCCCATTCACTGTTTCCCCAATGACCAAAGCACTGCTGCATACTTTCTCCATAAATAAATGCATACGCAAACTCTTCTTCCATTATTCCATGTTCTTGGATGATTTCTTTTAATTTTTTGAAAAAAGAAGGCTAGAAAGTAGGTTTGGAAATAAACATGGAAATTTGGAAGTACTTCAATGACATATCAAGCCACGATTAAGAATAATAACAGTTGGGCATGATGTCTCAAGCCTGTAATCGAGGCGCTTGGCTGGCTGAGAGAGAGCCCAGGAGTTCAAGGCCAGCCTGAAAAACATGGTTCCATTCCTGGGACTGGCTAGAGATCATGTCTTTCAAAACGAATAATAAAATGATCACAATGAAGAAGGGAACAAAACCACAATGCATCATCTTTTTAAAGTAATAGACACATTTCTTCACTGTCTTCTCGTGTGAAGCCTGGTAGGAGACAAACGTCAAACTTTAAAGCTTGCTCTGGGTGGAAACAAAGTGGAGATGTAACATATGAGAAAATTAATTGTGGGTCTTCATATTATTATCATTATTTTGTAAAAGTGCCTCAGAATTTCTCTTTGCTTCATGGTGAAGTAAATTAAACAAAGAAATACTTGTTACCAAGAAATTCGGGAATTAAAAATTCCCGGTTTTCAGTTTACAATGATTTTAATGTTCATATTTCTCCACATATGACCATTTTAAGATGCAAAAATAACAGACTAACTGAATTTAATTCCTAAACTAGGCGAGGCTCTTGCAAAGGGGATGGTACCAATGCTGCAGTGCTTTCCGGTAATTTTGCGCACAAGTTTTAATCTCAAGTCATAAATTCTTTTCCTATGATGTTAATAATAAATATTGCTTAGCTATATTAGACATAAATGTCATCAATATTTATTGGAGATATGAAGATAACGCCAATGTTTGTCTAATGTATGTATTTCTAATAGAAGAAACGTAGGTGACCATACTCACTGGGAGGTGCTACAAGCTGACCTTCTAAAGAAGGAAACGGCATAAAGACAGTCAAAGACCCGAAGTGTTTAAAAGTGGACACTCACTGGGCCATGCATAAATTACCAGTGCAACCATGCCAGGAGGGGAGGCTCTGCAGTTCCCATTCCTTACTGATCCAATAAAACCTGACTCTACAGATTTGCAACCCGTACCATAAACCTATCCCTTCTCCTCGGCTGCTCTCCAACTCAATAATGGCAGTCACATTCATTACATTTAGTGAGTCAGACTTTCCACAGTGCCTAAGTCATTCCCAGCCGGTGTGGCAGGTGTGTGGTGAGTGACGTTAGCTGTTTCAAGAGTCTGTAGATCCCAACAGTGTGAGGCAGCCCCGGTAATGCCCCAGTGGCCAGAAAGAGTAATGCACCTTCTATAAATACTTCACAAGGGACTGTCTGGAGTCCTGAGAGAAGGCAAGTGACCATCATTCCTTTTCCTCTCCCCCATCCCCATAAAAACCAAAGACCTGTACATACACGGGTTTATTGGAAAATATTTATGAATCAATCATTTAAAAGAACACAGTAGCTGTTTCTTATTTTTGTTTCATTGCTAGAAGTTGTGGGGTTTTTGAATAGAAGAAAAAGAGAGAACTAATCTTTACAATAAAACTTTAGATTTCTGTCCTTTGAAAGGACAGCACAGAAATAGCATTTAGGTTCTGTCTCAAACCCACAAACCCAATAAATACAGAGTTGGAGATGCCACTGTGCCCACACTACCCGTTGGCTAGGGTAGCTTACCCCTTTTCTGTTGACAGTGGCATAATTATCTTTCCCTTGGGAAATACCAAGGTCAGTTTAAAGTCAAGACAGGCTGTAAATGCATGTGCTGTCTGTGCCTTGGCTGTCCTCCAGAGAGGACAATGTGGCTGGGCTCCACAAACACACCAGGAAAGGCCAATCACACTTCACCCCACAAAGCCCTTGAAATGAGAACCCCCTGAGTCCTTAATCATAACACCAGAAACTAATGCGCTTAGAATTTGGAGACTGGCATATATACTCTGGAAACTGAAAATAATTCATGTGAACCTTTAAGTTCTGATACACAGATCTTTCCAGGGCATAAAAGTCACATTGGAGAAAACATACTGTCCACTGTTAAGATTTGGCATGTGGAAATTTTAAATTTAACTGTCTCCTAGCCATAAAAGGAGTCAAACAACTTACATTTATTCTCTTAAAAAAAAGCAAAACAGCAACTACAAAAATCTGTTAACTTTTGGCCAGTTCAAAATCTGTGAGAGTACTCCTTTTAAATCTTTGCCATGTGGCTGCCGAGTATAGCCCGGAGATGAGAAAGGAGTGTAAAGGTCTAAGATTGATCTTCTGATGGCCCAAACCTAGGTGTCCAAGAGTAACCATAGTAACACTGTGGTCCTAGCTGGAATTTATAGGAAAGGTGATGCTGAATCATCCAGAGTATTGCTCTAACACAATGCCCCACCCCGTTTGTATCAATACACATAGATGATACAAAAAAAAATCTAAGCATTCTAAAACCTTTATCAATGTCTTCCTCCTGAGTTTCCTTTAGTGAAGTTTTTCAGCTGATGTGGCTTCCTCCCCACCACTGAGCTCTCCTTACCATTGTGTGACCAATGGCTTTGTATGGGCAACTGAGTGTTTAAACACTGTACACAAGCCCTGAAACAGAGCTGAGTATGCTGTGTGGGCCCTGCCAAACACTCACGGACAATGCATTGATTTCCTCCTGGGAGAGTCTTCCATCCAGGGCAGCAATAGGAGTGGAATCTAGAGCCGCACACGTTGGGCCTGCAGGGGACAAACACGGCGATACCCACATAAGGATAGGCGCAGTAACACAAAAGAAGCTCTTCCTAAGCAAAACCCGAGCGAGTAGGTATCAGGACAACGAACAAATCAAAGTTCCATTTCAAATTCTTGGGGCTTGGGAAGCAGATGTGGAAGTAAAGGGGCTAGAGTTTGGGATGGGGGAGGGTCCAGAACCTCTAACTATCCCCTCTCAACTGCCCACCCTTGCTTGGCTTTTTAAACCGGGAAAAGAAACAAGAAACACATAATTTGCTACTATTCTAGAGTCCGGATGCTGAGAACAAAAGGAACACTCCGCTCAAAACTCCTTGCCCTTGCTCCCAAATCCATCCCTCCTTGCTCCACTGTTGTCTCTGGCCCCCAAGTGTCAAGGAGGGCGACTTGGAAGGCGGAGCGCTGGATCTGGCGATGATAACCAGCGACTGCTCCGCACAAGTCTTCAAACAAAAGGCTCTAGAGCTGCGCCCCCGACGGTGGGGAGCAGGCAGACTCCGGGGGGCCTTACTCAGGGCAGACCCAGGCCCTCTTTCGGCCTGACACTGGGAACCTTTCCCAGCGCCACAGATATCGCACATGCTCTGCCATTAGCACCCAGAGGCCCGCTCCCACCGGCAGCCAGCCGAAGCCCCCTAGGGAGGGCTTTCCGCGGAGCAATTGAGGCTTTCCGGGAGGAAAATGAGGGGCGCTCCTGGAGCTCTCAGGGTCTTTAAGTGTCCTAGTGGAGGGAACTGAAGCTCTACCCGCCAGCGCGACAGTCAGGGAGAGTGTGAAGTAGAAGGCAGGGAGGTCTCCCGCACAAGTCAGTCATCCCGCCGCCCACCTACCCTCGGAGTATGTCCTGCTGTCCTCGCCTGCGGACGCGGCTCGCCGCTACCGCACCCTCGTCCCGGTACTCAGGCGCCGCGAAGCCGCCTTCTACTGCGGGCCGGACCTGTTGCGGGGGCGGCTGGGACCGGAGCGTCTTAGGTGGCAGAGGCTGGGGCTGACCGGCTGTGCCCTGTGCCCAGAGCGCCACGCAACCCAGCCACACGAAGTAGGGCTGGAGACACGACCTCCGCCGTCTCCCCATCGCCAGCGCCAAGAGCGCGCGGATCGAGGCCCGCAGAGAGGGGGCTGTCGAAGACCAAATCCGAGAGGCCCGGGGGAAAAAAAAATCAGGGTCTGACCAGCCCTTCGTCAGCTCACGGGACTCGCTTGAGTTGCGGTGTCCTGGTGGAGTGGTGGGGCGGGATGCAGCGTCAGCTCCTAAGCGGCAGCGTGCGTGCGGGGCGCGGGCTTCTAGCGCTGAAGGCAGCGAGGCGCGGCGGCGATGTAGCCGGCAGCCCCGCGCGGTCCACGTTGCATCCCCCGGGCCACTGCCCCGAGCGACTCCAGGACCGCCAGCGGGTGGGGGCGGGAAATTACAAAAGTAACCCGAGCAGCCGCGGCATAAAGTTACAAAGAAAGCGGACCTCACAAGGGAAAAAAAAAAAAAAAGCAGGGGGAGGGGGGGTGCCTAGGCTGAGTGGATTCCCGTGCGCTCCGGGCACAGATCCTGGAAAGCTGCAGAAGTCACCAAAGGAAACAGGCTAGCGAACAAAAGTCACCCCCAAAAGAAGAGGAGGGTCTTCTCGGGGCTCGTTTGGGGTCCTATGGGGCAGCTAAGCGGGGCGGGGCGGCTGCACAGCCCATCAGAGGTGCGCGGGGCCCGGGGGAAGGGTTGGCGGAGGGAGGGCAGGAGGCTGGATGCCGGGGAAGATGCCGCGGAGGAGGGCGCGGCGCCGGGGTTTTAGAGGCTTGGCGGGGCGCGGGGCGGGACAGCGGGCGGTGGCTGTCAGAGGGGGCCCGGGCGCAGCGGTCCACACGTGGAGCGCAGCCTGGATGGAGGGGCTAGCAGGGCTCAGGGTGGGCGGGGACAATGTTACGGGGAGATCTCAGGCAGAGGAGTGGAGTGAGCGATGGGGGAGGGGAAAGAGGCAGGAAGGGGGGGCAGGGCAAAGGGAACGGAGGAGATTGAGATTGGGGAGAAGTGGCGGCGGGGGTGGGGGGGCGGGGGGAGCTGAGCGCTTAGTCTAGGTTGGAAGCTGGAAGCTGGCTTCGGATGAGGGATTGGCGAGCAGGGGTGCCAGAGGAAATGAGAGGGGGATGGGGGAGGTGAGGGCGTGGAGAGAAGTGGAAAGGGGGGAGAAGAGGGGGCCAGAGCCCGCTGGAGGGGCGAGGCGAGGCGGCCAGGCTTCCCGTCCCGCTCCTTGGCCGCTAGCTCTGTTTTGACTGCCTTACAAAGCAAGCAGACGGCGGGGGAGGGGGCTACCAGCGACCAGGTTTGGGGAGAGACCACACCGCGGCCCCAGCCTTTCCTCTAGAGAGCTCCGGGGTCTCGAGGACTGGAGACAAGGGAACCCGAGAGTGCTACTGAACTTCCCCGATGGACAGAGGTCACATGGTAGAAAATGGGACCCAGTTCTGCGAGGACCAAGACTCTGATCCTTGTGTGTGTTGGGTGTGTGTGTTGACGAGGGTGAAGGGGAGGACGGGGATTCGCAGATGGCCAGGGACAGACCTCACACTGGAGCTCAACCTCGGTCCTGTCCGTCCTGGAAATCTAGGACCTTCGGATCGCCCTGCTGTCCCCCACCAGGAACTCCATCAATCGGTAGAACAAACGGCCTGGACCTTTCCAGATTAAACTGCATCCGCAGTACAGAAGGAATTCATATCATGGCAAGGAGCCTCGGCCACGCGCTGGCGCCACAGTCTCAGGGAGTCCTTAGAGGAGATGTGCTCAGGTGTGACCCCTGGCAGAACTCTGCCTGGGTCCTCAAATGGGAATGGTTTGTTGTTGGGACAGTTGGCTGCATAGCTGGTAAATGGAACTGGGGAGTGACTTTAGTTTTTGTTCAGGACCCCTTCTGATTAATGATTAAACCTGGCAATTGGTGCCATGAATGGTCTGTAAATGTAGAGGGTCTCTCCTTCAGATTCTGGGATCTTTTGTGACCCTGCTTTCAGGAGGTCTCTAAGAAGCCCTTGCCATCTCTTAGTCAGTGGAATTAATGGGCCAGACGACCACACACCTCTGAAAACCAGGAATGAGCAAGCAGTTTAGGAAATGGTTCTTGGGAACAGTGTTCGGCTCATTCCAGCCCAGAAAACCTTACTTGAAAAGAAATGAGTATACATCCTTGTTTTTCCTAGTTTGGATTATCCAGATGTGTTATTTGACAGCCAGAAATTCTTGGAGAATTGGCACACCTCCCTCCTTTATTTCCCCAGCGTAGTTGTAGTTGGCAGACAAAGACTCTCAGGTAGTAACCCTTCTAACAGTGTCCACATAGAGCAGGAGGGAAAAGTAGGAATAGCAAAGTTTGGGGGAGGGAACACTGGGAGCTAGAGAAGTCATTTCTCCCCCCCCCCCCCCCGCGCATTTTGAATCAAACAAATAATGGTTTAAAGAGCTAAATAAATGATCTCATGAGTTAAAGCAGTGCTTTAATTGTAACCCTGTGACTTTTCATTTAATACTTAAACGACTTTATATTTCATTGCTGCTTATTGCATTAAGCCCAAATGTTCTACAATCGCAAATGCCTTCATTCTTTCACTCTGTGATACCTCTTCTAGGAACCTGCATAAAAAATACTTGGAAAAACACAAAATGATGGATCCTTTAAATTATCCATCTCAGCACAGTTGTAATAGCAAAGGGCTGGAAATGCAAACATTTCACCAAGGAGGAACTGGCTGCACGCATGCTTGATTCATTTTATGGAATATCATGCAAATAGAAGAAAAATTAATTAGGAACGCTGTGTTCCTCTGAAGTGATGTCTAGCAAAGAGGGTTGGGGGAAAATCAGCACGGTGTGGATAGAAGAGGTCATTTATTGAGTCGCAAAGTGGAATTCACATTAACAGGAGCTAGGGAGGGAGGGAATGAGGAGCTGTTGTCCAACAGTTGCAGAGTTCCTATTCCAGATCATGGAAAAGTTCTAAAGGGATAACAAGCCACCCTATGCAATCAAAATGATTAAAATGGTAAATTTATATTAGATACCATTTTGTTATAATTATTTCAAAGGGAAGATAGATGGTTTCTCATTGCCTGCTGCCGTTTGCCTGTGTGTTTGTGCTGTGCATTGTTTTGTAATAGAAGCCTGAGTCAAATCTAACCGTAAGTACTTGTCGGGTAAAGAGAATATAGGAGACAACCTAGTGGAAAGCTACACCTACTCTAATACTTTGAAGCCATCTCTATATCTTATATAGTAAAAAAAAATAATTAAAGTTTAAAAGAACTAAGAGCAAGGTAAAATAAACTGGTTACATTTATAGCATAGCCATAGAGTAAGCAGTCCATCAAAAACATATTTTGGACAATAAGTCTCTAGTGAAATATACATCAAGAATGAAAGGAATATAAAGAAGTCTAAAATTTCATTCAATGGAAACAATGTGTCAAGGGAAAAAAAAACGAAAGGTGGGCAAAAGTTGTGTGAGCCTGAACTCAAACCCAAAACTCATATAAGAGGCCAGATGTGGAGGTGCACACCTGCAATCGAAACATTCTTATGTCAAGATGAGAGAGTCACCCAGAAACTCGTGGGCTAGGTAGCCTAGAGAACACAGCAGCAGAACATGAGGTGCAGAAAGGTGAGAACCAATTCTCAAAAGTTCTATTTGACCCACACATACACTGTGTGTGTGTGCACATGTGTAGAGCTAGGAAATTGTTTTATATTAATGATTTATTTTTCATTTTAAATGGGTAGTTACTGGCGTATTTGACTGTATATTTAAGTAATATAGTTATTAATATTATCCCAACTAAAATGTTTTGCGTGATAAAAATATGATGCTTCGAGTTTGATTTGGACCACTTGGGAAAAATGAAACAAGGACTGGGTTTTGAAAATATGAGTTAGATGTAATTTTCTCTATATTCCTTGCTGATCATTCTTAAGCTAACACCCTATGGGGAAAGAGAATCAGTATTCCCAGGCAGACTAAAACTGTGGGAAGAAGGCAGACTGTCTAGTGAGCATGGGTCCTGCGGAACGACATGGAATGAGTGCCTCGTGTATGCCTGGGCCTGACTGGTGCTGGAGAAGCTGGCAGCTTGGAAGTGCCAACAGCATAGACTAAGGAAAGGCTCTAAGAACACCTGCCATCTTTAAGAAAAAGGATAAAAGCAGGTGGTCTAGCAGGACTAGAACCTTTTAGACATCTACAACTAAAACAGAATCAACTGTGATTCCCCCACATACCCCAACAGAGGTCAGGCAGGAAACTTATGCGCACACTGTAACAAGGTGGTCCTCCCACCTCCTGATAGTGCCAGAGAAGATCCTGTGGAGAGTGTGACGGCCAATTCTCCTGTGCAGTAAGGAGCCAGTATTTCACCGTGTCAGTGGAGAAGCTGGACTTCCCACCCTTAGTCAGGGTTCTCCAGAGAAACAAAACCAACATTAGTATGTATGTGGATACGATCTTACTAGAGGACTAGCTCACAGAATCACAGACTGAAAGGTATCTTCTGCAAGCTGAAAATTCAGAGGACTCAACCGCTTGGCTCATTCCAGAAAACCGGACGCCACAGAACCAGGGAGAGCAAAATTTGAGTCTCCATTTGGGGCCAAAGACTTGAGAACTTCAAAGAACTCCTACTACCAGACCAGAATGGAAAGTTAAAATAATCGAAAGCCAATGTTCAACCACTTGTGCCTCGGTTTTGCTTCCTGACAATGGAACTTAAGGGAGAAAGGACTGATTTGAGTCATGATGCCAGGTTATAATCTGTCACTGAGTGTGTCTGTCGGGGGGTTAAGGGTGGCAGGAACTTCAAGCAGTGGTCATGTCACCGTACAATCGAGCAGAGAGCATTGAATTGATGCATGCCTGCTAGTGTTCGCCTTTCATTCTCCTTTTCATTTAGTCCAAGGTTCAGCCCATGAAATGATGCCACTGATACTCAGAGTGGGTGTTCTTACCTCAATTAACCCAATTAGACCCCCCCCCCCCCGATATGCCCAGAGGTGAACTTAATCTAGAAATCTCAAAGAGACTTCCTTCCCTGGTGAATCTAGATCAGTGG